CCGCGCGAATAGCAAAGCGAGTGCCACCGCTGGGTCGCCAGACCCCCATGACTCACCCTCCCTCCCTCCCTATTTCGCACGGACCACGCAGACACCTCCACCGCCGGACCCGTTGACAAGACGTATGGTTTGGGCCACTGCCAGAGAACACTGCTGCTTGACACCACCACAACAAATACCATAACGGGCGCGCCGGGCGCCAGGCGGTGTGCGCGCCAAAGTTCAAATCGGCGCCATAAACGTCGCGCTCTCAGCGGCACAAAGCTCGAGCAAGCCGGGGCGCGACCGAGCGGGCCGCGCCCTCCGCGGTGACCTGACCTCCAGGGGGGCTCACCGGGGTCAGCGCCCCGCCCCCGCCCCAGCGGAGCGGCCCCGCGAAAGCGTGGAGGTCATCAACCAGGACGACGTGGACAGCGGAGGGACGACGACATATGGTGAACATGCTCGGCGACGGCCCTCAAAGGGACGAGTTCTGCGGCCCCCCATGGGACACCGCCCGCCCGCCGTGGCGCCACTCGTCCTGGGCCTGTCACGCCGAGCAACCGCGAGGGGACGTCATAAAGACGGGGAGTGAGGCGGAGGGGAGGGCACTCGGAGGAGGTAATTGAAATAGTTTCAGGGAGAGAGGGGCAGGGAGGGAGAGGGTGAGCGAGAGAGAACGGGAGGGGGGTTACTATACGGTCCAAATAAATCGAGAGTTTTGGACCGATTGCGGCCGCCGCCGCCAGTAAGCGCGCGAAGCCGTTTGTTTCGAAAGCCGCAGCCGGTTACTGAACCGAGCGCAAGCTGCGCGGGTCAGCGCTCCATACGGCGCGCGGAGCTCCGCGGCTGACCGCTGACCTGTCATGGCTGGAACCTGTTGGCCGCACGCACGGGGCACCGCCTGCCTTGTCCCGCCCCGATTTAATAGCGGCCCTAGTCGACTGCTGTCAGGGCATCGATTTCTTCAAGTAAGCGACCTCCCCCTCTAACTACTCCTAATGTTCGACTTTAAGTGCCGTAGGTTATCTGTATCTGAACCCTATTCTTTCAAAAACAAGATTTTCTAGACGGTCCCCTAAACACTGTCCCTACCCGAGGGCATAGTCCCCCTCCCCCTCCTCACTCTCTATATAGCACAGAGCGGGCCGTGAAGTTTTTTTTTGTATTTTTTTTAAAATTACGGGAACCCTAGTCTCGTTAATGGTAAGTTTTCGCTCCTCACCTGAAGGTGTAGGTGCCGTCTCCATTGTTCTCGTTGACAAGCTTGAGGATAGCAGCCGGCCGACCGCCAGAGCTGCCGCCGCCACCGAAGCCGCCGCCGCCGCTGCTGTAGGAGCCGCCGCCACCGCCGCTGGGGTAGCCACCGTTGGAGTAGCCGCCGCTACCGCCGCCTGAAGTGGGGGGCAGGTAGGAGTTGGTGGGACGCCTCGGGGGCGGGGGAGGTGGTGGGGGTGGCGGGGGCGCCGCCGGAGGGCCGTAGGACTGGGTGGGCGCCCGGTTAGGAGGCAGATACGAGCTCACGGGGCGGCGCGGGGGCGGGGGAGGAGGCGGCGGGGGGTTGTTCCTCCTCGGTGGCAGGTACGAGTTCTGGGGCGGCGGAGGCGGGTTGTTCCTCGGGGGCAGGTACGTGTTCTGCGGGGGCCCGGACGGCCTGTAGGGCGGCGCCAGGCCGGCACCACCGGCGGAGGCGGCGCTGGCGGGCGGCAGGTATGTGTTCTCCAGACGGTCAGCGGACGCGAGGCCCGCGGCCGCGACCAGCAGGACGGCCCACGCCTGAAACACAAAGAGGTGACATCGATTAGCCGTGGTAACACCACACACACGAGACAAGGGAGCGTGTGTGCGCTCTCCCTCGCACACACACACGTACACCGCGCCCCCTCCACTACCAGAACGCGGCAGCCACGCCTAGACTCCGCCCGGCCGCCGCCTGCCGAGTCCCGAGTAGGCCGCCCCGCACGCCACTCCTGTTGGGCGGGTCGGCCTACGTCCCAGGCGCTTCCCTACCGCCTGAGAAGTACTGGTTAGGCCGCCCCGCACGTCACCCCTGTTTGGCGGGTCAGCCTACGCATCAGGCGCTCTCTCGCCGCCCGACGAGTCGTGGTTAGGCCGCCCTGCACGGCACCCCTGTTGGGCGGGTCGGCCTACGTCCCAGGCGCTTCCCCACCGCCTGACAAGTCCTGGTTAGGCCGCCCCGTACGCCACCCCTGTCAGGCGGGTCGGCCTACGTCCCAGGCGCTCCCCGGATGGCCACCGATGAGTCCCGTGTTCGCACGAGGGGAATCACTCTAGGTCGTGCAATATGGATAACGCCCATCGACCAAACAACAACAGCCCCTGGCCGACCCCTGCGACGCCTCGTCTCTGCCCGCGCAGCAGGAGCAGGGCCACCTACATCGCGTAGCCGCCGGCTACCCCCCCCCCCTCTTTCTTTCTCTCCCTCTCTCAAACAGACACACTGTCTCTCTCTCGCACACACACGAGCGCGTGTACGCACGAGTTCTGGTTACTACACCGCCGCTCGCGGCTTTGCCAGGAGGCTACGGGCCGCAGTCTTCATTAGAATATCTCGACAATTCGGCCGTCGAGATGCACACACCCACATTCAGACACACACACACACACACTGCCAAGAAAACACACCAACACCGTCGTATACAAACACACACACACACACACACAGTTTGCCACGGAGCACAGCCGAACAGTATCACGAAACAAATCATCCCCCGGCCCGTATTGCACAGGACGGGAAGAGGTAGAAGTTAATCACCCGGGAGGCGTAACAATGGGTAATGAAACCAGCTGGCCAGGCAGGGCGCAGGGGGCGGCCGGGCTGCTGCATACCTGGGGCAGGCTAAGCCGGCCGCCGGCGAGATCCTCGACGAGCCCATCTAGAGCATGGTGGTGATCGCACAGAGGCGGGATTCTGCGTAACTTTCTATCTGGCAAGATTCCTAAAAATGCCAAGCTGGAAGAACGAAGGTGCTACTGCAATAATTCCTTTGTATAAGGCCTCTAAAATTGCCGACTAGAGCACATTGTAAAAAAAGAATCACTGTTTACTAACGCCCCTATAAAGCACTAAATAGGATGGCACCTTTGATTTTCTACACCCAGAGAAAAATGTAATTAATACAACTAAATCAGGGTTGTAAGACACAAATTTATGCTCTTCAAACAAACTAGAATTTACTGCCCCCTAATACCAATCAAATTAAGTCAGGATAAACTTTAGTTTCCAGAGCTATAAAATAATTTCATCGGTTTTGAATTTGGTTGTCTGGACTAAACGGTTTTCTGGGTGTACGGGGGAAAAGCTATCGACAATAACAGCGCGCGCGAGTCCCTCGCGCAGCAGATCGCACTGAATAACGAGCCCCGGCCGGCACAGCAATAATCGAGAAGCGACATCTCGCCGGCCGACCCGAGCGGGCGAATTATCGCGGCGCCTTCATTAGATTGCAGTCCCGGCTCGACTCGGCTCCGCTCGGCTCTCAGGCGCGAGCGCAGAACTAATGAACGGGCGTGCCGGCCATATGCGCGACCAGCGCGCCCCGCCGGCCACACCAACAAGTGCAACCAAGTGCACTGATAAACGCACACTGCTCCTCCAAGCGGGTCAGCGCGCGGCGGGTGGCCACCAGCTACCGACCCGCCTCGAGCGAGAGGAAGAGAGAGGGAGAGAGATGGAGAGAGAGGGAGAGAGGGAGACACAGA